AAAAACCCTACAATGAGTAGCAGGGACGAATGCCCGGAGGTCATACGCGACCTGATCCCGTACGTTCGCATCGATTTTTGATGTGGGATGGTGCAGTCGTCAACCANATTGCATGAGTTCAGGTACGATATACCTGACCTCGTGTAACAATTGCGGAGATGAATATATTGGCGAAACGGGCAGACCTTTGTGTATCCGTGTAAAAGAACACCTAGATGGCAAACGAAAACTAAGACGAAGCACCCCACTAGGCACGCATAGGATACAAAAGCATAGCGGAGACGATTTTGAAGTAAAAGTCAATATCCTTGCACAGGAGTCCAAAACACCAGTGCGAAAACTCCTAGAGGCTTTTTGGATCAATGCCAAAAACCCTACAATGAGTAGCAGGGACGAATGCCCGGAGGTCATACGCGACCTGATCCCGTACGTTCGCATCGATTTTTGGCGTGCGATGGTGCAGTCGTCAACCACATGCGACTATAATCAGCTGTTCTAAACTTCCTCATTGGAAGTCACGAAAAAGCGGTGGGTTTTTCGAGAAGTTGTTGATCGTGTAATTATCAAAGAGTTCTTCGTCTTTTTGTAAGTGTTATTGAAGCGTTTGGCCTAGTAGATTGTATATCAGCATACCCTTCCAGGCTCTGAAGAAGGCGATACTGCCGAAACGTCAGCTAGCGTTGTATTGTATTGTGTTTTTATGGAAGTAAATGTATGCTGTTTAAAAACTTCGCGATTGCTGAACAAGAAAACGACACATTCATATTCCAATGCCGAGGTTAACAGAAAGTCGTTCCTGGGAACTATAATTTTATATGTTTATTAATAATATATTATTATTTTATATATATTTATTTATGAATGTGTCGTTTTCTTGTTCAGCAATCGCGAGGTTTTTAAACAGCATACATTTACTTCCATAAAAACACAATCCGATACAACGCTAGCTGACGTTCCAGCAGTATCGCCTTCTTCAGAGCCTGGAAGGGTATGCTGATATACAATCTACTAGGCCAAACGCTTCAATAACACTTACAAAAAGACGAAGAACTCTTTGGTAATTACACGATCAACAACTTCTCGAAAAACCCACCGCTTTTTCGTGACTTCCAATGAGGAAGTTTAGAACAGCTGATTATAGTCGCATGTGGTTGACGACTCATATTTATTTATATTCTTTTAATATTTTCTTATTTTTTATATTTTTTAACTATTTTTATTTATTTACTTAATATTTTTTATATGCAAGATTTTTAGCCCTCGATTCCGAATCTGATAAGGAAATTGCGCAGAAATTGCCGTAGTAAACATTTTTGAGTGGACGGAATCCAAGTTAATCGATTTCGTCTCATATCAATACTATTTTAAAAGGGGGATCATAACAACAATAACAACAACAACAGCAACAACAACGACGAAAAAAACCCCGAAAACAGCACAACGGAAAAACAATCAATAGCAATCAATCGGGCACCTCCATCGCTATCGAAAGTGGATCATTCGACAGTGACATCACTTAAAAGTTTTTCTGAATCCTTACAGACAAACACTATTTACAGCACAATAGCAACCATCTAGGAAAGGTTCACAAAGTGAACGATTCCGAAGCGGTAAATGATTTCGCGAGCAACTGCGCAGCAATAATAGGTAGAAACATATAAACCCTTAATCGATAGTGCAACCATTGCTGTGATATGATGAATAGACTTCTAATTGTTATGAAATTTGAAATAAATTTAACCTTCGATTCTGCAAAAAAGGCTTTTTCAAAGTGGATTCCATACTTTACCAAAGATTTAAAGGTCCATTTCTTCATCATTTCGTATCATTTTGCTATATAAATTGAAATAAAAAAAGATAATGGCTAAGGTTGGCATACTGTCATCATGAAATAGGGGATGTTTGTAAACAAACGAACCGATGAACTCGAGAGTCAACGATTATATCGGAGGCGTATTATTTTCCACTATACACCTATACTTACTTAGATAATTGAACGGCCCTCCTTCAGTGATTCTGCAGGTTGCAGCATATTTTCCTTTTTTCCGAGTTTTATTGGTCTAGCCATTGTGGTTCCCTGGAATACCGTGGCTAACCTGGCCAAAGTCTGCCCCAGCTCGTCACCACCACATAAAGGCGCCGTGGATCAGAGGTGATTTGCCACTAAGCGGCTAATTTAATACAGGACAATGGTGGATCCTGGTATTGGTTTACTCTTAGCTGGGCTTCCTTATTGAAACGCCGGATTCCTTCTCAGCTTGGGAGGCCCTCCTCGTGAAGATGAATCCCACCGCTGTACATCGCTGCCCGACACTCAGCAACACCTCGCAGTTACGATAAGGCGGTAAACAGTTGGGGAGCAATCTCTTAATCTCTTATAGCTTTCTAAAAAATAAAAAAAATGTACATCGAAAAGTTGGCACATGACCATTTTAATATTTTTTGAAGACAAGGTGAAAGTAGCGGATTGATTAGAGCTGTTTTGCAACATACACGTGGGTTTTACTCAAATCTAGCGCTTTCACCAAACATGACCCTTTATCCTTATGGATGCGGAAAATTGCTACTACATTCTTGGAAAAATAAGGTCAATGAGCTGATTCATCGGTATTCCACGCAAGTCACTGCACAAGACAGAAGTTGGGCCAATCAGCTCTTGAACGCTTGACAAATTTAAATACATGGTGGATGAGGCGCGTTCCCCAGATGGAATCGATCCCCGCACCCATGGCCCGCCAAGCCTTTCATTCCTAAGAGGTCGGTAAATTGGTACCACACTTGTCTGGGAGGATAGCACCACTCGATAGACCAGTAGGCCACCGCGAGACGTTGTAAGGCCAGATAAGCATTCAATCAACTCCTACGATACTTAATGAGGTCGAATGCATGACGTATCCTTCAGGGATTGATTAACGCCGAGAGCTTTGTCTTTTATCCTTATCCTACATGGTGCATCCTTAAGTAATTAGTTGATGACACCGCTTTGCCGTGTGTTATATTTTCACTCCACTTGTCCGAGCTGCACAAGTATTTTTTTCTACACGAGATGGTGTTGTTAAGCATGTGCAAGTTGCTTACGCCGTCACAGTCGGTTCTATGAAGAGCATGGGCTCAAGGAAGCTCTGATCTCCATTGAAGTGGACAACTTACTGGTGGGAAGAGGAGATTCATCAGCGATGGATATGAAATAAACCCTTTCATGGGTCAACCATGTTTATTACACAAAGGAATACCAACTGACACCTGGATTGACAGTAAGTATAATCCTACCCAAAGCTAAAAACTTAACCATTTCTTCCAAACTTCAACTTATTCCTGATAAATTTTTATTGGCAAAATTCTACGTACATGTTTTGCATTAGTACTACTATAGAAAAACCACACATACATTTGATGTGTTCATGTCAACAACGCATTGTAGCAGGCATTGGCAAACAAATAGACCTTCAAAGACGACCTCACCAGGACTTCCAACCTAGGAATAATCGTATTATTTCATGAAAAACCGCCGCTTTTATCACATCGACCACCTCAAGCCAAATAACTTCTGTGGCATGCCGTAAAAAAGTAAGTTCTTTCCGAAAAGTAAGAATAACAAAACTAAGCTCAACTCAAAGAAAAACCTGTCATGAAAATGCCATAGAAAAACGAGAGGGAAAAAATGAGAGAAGAAAAATACAGTAGCTATCAAAGCACCAGAAGAGAAACGCTATGCAACGCTCATGACTGGCATAACAGTATAATAATATACGAAATGTCGGCTAGCAGAAGACATAGTTATCGAATTACTGATTAATCGATACCTATGTTCTACATTGTTACCACATACGCTAGCAAGCCTTCGAAAACAGCATAGATCATAGAACATAAAAATATTTGACATAAGAAAAGTACATAACAGAGTGTATCACTTAGTGACAACATTTGTAAACTCCAAATATGAATGTTGGAGATTATAAGATAAAGCGGTGCCAGATTGGAAACCAAATGGTGCCTTCATCTCGACGTAGGTCCGTTGGAACGGTCATCAGCTTGGATAGTGGCTAGTATTTCTTCCAGTTGTTCCAAGGCTTTCGTCTCCTGTATCGCCAACTTGTTCATTTGCTCACGATGCTCTAGCTGTTTCTGTTCTATCAAGTGTTCGATGCTAAAAATTGGTCCCGTTTACTAATCAGTAACAGTAACGAAATTTATCCTTGGAATGGCGCACACAGAGCAGTGGTTACTGTGCAATACAGATATGACCGTTGGTTCGATCTCACACTCTGCCCTAACCAAGCTGTTCATCCCAACGAAGTAGACAAATTGGTAGGACTTGTTTGCGATGAAGGCGGCACTACCTTGGTACATGCTACATCGCTAGTCCTTCTATAGTCTTAATTTGTGATCAATCACCTCAAACGGTGCTTGATGGGCCGGAATGCATAGCGATCGATTTAATGCTTAAATCGAACAACGCCGAAGGCTTTATTCTTTTCTCTTCGGAATATGCTCACCCGATTGAGAAACGCTTTCTTTCCTTGTTGAACACTTGTTTACTAGATTCGTTCATTTCGCGCATCTTTTTCTCACGTTCTTCACGTGATCGAATTGAGTGATCCTGAATAGAAAGTCTATTGCTGTAGGTGCATTAGGCCCTATAACAATTTCAATTCGAATAGAACTTATTGCTAGCAAACATACGTGGGAGTATGGTAAAGCACGGTGCTATACCTAGGTTATAATCTACCTCATTTGTTTTCGTTATGAGTTTTTGAAAATACTTCCTATAGAAGAAGATAATTTCAGGAATAAGGAGATCTGTTTTTCTTTTCACAGCTCTCTTCTTTTTATTTTTATTTTCTTTTTCAACTGATACAGTACACTCACCCACTTTTTGCTAAAACATGGAGCTATTTTCAGAGAAAAGATTCATATACCATTGACAGACGTCGGAATTTGTTCAATGCCATGTCGGTTTGCACTTGCTCGAGTTCTTTAAGTCGCTTGTCCAACTTCTGCCGCATGGCTTCCATTTCGGTACGGTGTGTATCCTCACATTGCTTCCTTAATCAAAAAGAGTCATGCGAAAAACATCGCTGAATATCTTTTCAAATCTGCGATTACATAGAGTGTAACAATATCGAACAAGTAAAATCTTTTATGGCTCATAATGGAAAGCAATTCAGGTTTTGTTGAAGTACTCGATTATTCAAAAAAGAACAACTGAAGCAGCTAAGCGACATTTAGACCGCTGTTATCTTAAAAATTGTACTAAAGAGATCAAATAGATTTCGGTGTACGCCTTCGTGAGGATATCCGGTACAGGATCATACAGATATAGACACACCGTCGTTGTTCAAATTCTCGTAGAACATGCGTCCGACAACGCTCAAGTTCGGTTAGCGCCTGTTTTTTGGCTTCCTCATAACAACGCTCATCTTCCGCCATTTTTAAAATCCATGCTGGAATCTGAACAGAACGAATAAATCACTTTTACTTTACTAAACACTCTTGTAAGTTCATTTATTCTTTAACTGTAGCATATGTACGAAAACGTAACCGGCCTCACTGCCTCTGTTGGTAATTTTTTCTGTTTCCCGATCCACCAATAGTGTTTTCTATCCATCACCGAATTAGATCTTTCGAGCGCTCCTCTTTGAAGTGGATAGAATAATGCCCTCCTTAGAGCAAGTGGTATTCTTCAGTTCCATGTGAAGAACGTAGAAATAAGTGGCATATGGACCAGCACTTCAGCCAACCTAGTGTGGCAAACATGGAAGGATGTTTACATTGGAAACCTCTTCATAATGACGACAGTCGGCTGCTTGAGTTTACTAATGAAGTACTTTTCCACAAAAGTGCACACTACTTTCTAAAGCATTGTAAATGTGCTTCGTGGGTGCCTGCACTATTTCAACAACAGTGAAACCATTATTTACATTTGGTAGAAAAAGTAGAACAATGGATTTAATAACCATAATGTTGCTGAGATATGTGCAAAACACCGGACAGCAGGTGTCTGAGGGTTCATTGCCGATTTGGGCTGTCCAGGTCAATACCGCCGACGAGTGAGTGATTGATGACGGCACCGATCGATAAAACTAGCCGAGAGACAGGTGAAACCAAGGAGTCGCACTGTGTGGTGGTGAACGCGTTAGCTCTAAGGGTAATAGCGCGTACTGTCACCACCGCAGACACCAGCAGTCCGGAGATTTTGCAAATATCTCAACAAAATTTTGGTTAAATGTAAAATAATGCCCTACCTTTAAAAATTACTATACAGTAAATAAAAATTGACAGTGGGCTTAACATTCTCGAGGAACGTTCCAGCCATTCCTGTTGATCGATTGTTGAGTATCGACCCGATTTTGTGTCTTCTGATCAGCCATGTTCAAATGCTAATGAGCGACAAGTGGATAACACGATCGGTTAAGCAAACAGATTTTTTTCTGTATTTCATGGCCAGCAAAACTTCGATTTTTCCACAGCAGCACCACTTGTATCACTTGTAGTCCCGATGATTGTCAAGTGATTCGCGCAAGCGCCAGTAAATTTTCCACTTTTCCCTGTGGGGTGTAGGAGTAGACTAGTAGGTTCTGCTCGTTCTAGGGACTCGTTGAGCATCATATCTTTCTTCTAGGCGTTTCGTGAAGAACTCTGACCACGGAGTCGGTAGTCTTCCTGCAGTGCGTTTGATATCCTGAGGAATCCAGTCACCAACGGCTCTTCTCCACCGGCTGTCATTCATACGCACTACGTGTCTGGCTCACCTTATCCTCAACTGTTTGCCGTACAAAACGGCATCTTTGATTTTTGATCGTTGACGCAGGTCGGAGTTCCAGATCCCTTTCCTTACTTACGGGACACGGGATACTCCTAGCATCGCCCTTTCGACTGCGGCTTCAATAACGCTGAGTGATTTTTCATCCTGTTTACGCACCGACCAGGTTTCTGACGCATACCTTAGGACAGGAAGTACCGTTAAGTCAAAAAGGTGGGCACGGAGTGGGGTATTCCTTGTTTTCCTCACTTACATCTTCGATGTTCTTGAAAGCTTCCCAACCCGCCGTTTCCTCCTGCTCATCTCTGGAGCTAAGTCGCTTATCATGTTTATTTCCCGACCTAGATAGACATAACTGGAGCATTCGGAGATATTCGTTCCGTTGAGCGTAAATGGAGCATAATCCGTCCTTCATCAACTTCGTTTTTGTGAGATTTAGTCGAAGATCAATCATTCCACAGGCTCCATCAGTGTCGGCAAGCATTCATTCCGCTTGGTTAATGCTTGGTGTTATAAGGACGATGTTGTCAGCAAAGCAAATATGGTGTAACTGCCGACCATTGAATGAATGGTGATATACTGGTTGTGAAATTTTTGTACAGCTCATGAAGAATCTTTATGTACTGAGTAGGCACCCTTTGACTATCAAGGGCTTCCAAGACTGCTTCTATCTCAATTGAATAAAAGCCTTCTGTAAATCGATGAAAATGAGACAGAGCGGTCTTTTGTGCTCTCTCTATATTTCAATGAGTCTTGTTATCGTGTGGAAATCATCCATGGTACTAAATCCCTTTCGAAACCCTACTTGCTTACATGGCTGCTCTTCGTCCAGTGTTCCAAATCCTGTTTAGAACTCGAGTGAAGAGTTTGCAGACGGCAGACAGTAAGCAGATTGGGCGATAGTTGCCGATATCGTGCAGATCACCCTTCTTGTACAATAACACGGTCTTGCTGGTCTTCCACTGAGTAGGGACCTTGCATTCAGACAGGTAACGTGTGAAGAGCCGAGCCAGTGTGTTTACGAAGACTGGCGGAATGTTCTTCAGGTGTTCTGGTCTTATCCTGTCCGGACCCGGTGCTGTTCGATTTTTCACCAACGAAATGGCATGTTGGATTTTGGAAGGGAGAACCGGTGGTACAACATATCCATTTTCCTTTACTTCATATGACGGAAAGTGGACGTGGCTATCGAACAGATTCGAGTAGTATTAGTGAATGATTTTCTCCATTGCCTTTCTGGACTCTGTGACTGTTCCGTCTGAATGTCGGAGTACAATCACCTTAGTCTTGTAATTGGCGCAGCTTCGGTGGGTTTTGCGAATGCTTTTTCCAACCTCTGCAGCTTCGACCATTACCCCTGCTCTTTTTCTTTATGATCTTCTTTTATCGCCTGTCTGCATTGTTTTGCAAGTTCAGACTTAGTTCACGGTTGTCTGCAGTTCGTGCGATTCCACGCTGGCTTGTCAGCTCCAGTGTTTATGGAAACAGACGTTTCTCGGTGACTTTCAAACTCCCAGTTTTTATAGCGCTAGCGTGAAGATGTTGGCTGAGCCGATCCTATTCTTCGTCGATGTTATCGGCAACGGCATCTTTCCAATAGTCGACTAATAAATTGAATAAGTCCCGGTTTACGGTGGTTCTGGGAGCAGAATGTTGCACGAAGGAGATGGCGGTCTGATTCCGTGTAGAATTTTGAGACAGCAGCGATATCGATTGGGCAAAACTTTCTATTTAATATGATGTGGTCTATTTCGTTATGGTAAACTCCATTGGGAGACTCCCACGTCCAGCGTTGAGGGTGTGGCTTTTGAAATTGCGACTTACCATGGATGGTCTTGGTCGTCGTAATGAACTCAGATAGCCGCTCACGCTTTTCGTTCCATTCTAATCCATGGTTCTCAATGTGACGTTCTTCTGAATCCAATCTTCGCATTGAAATCTCCAATGATGACCATGAAGAATGTGCGGTCTTCCCTGTAGAACTTCTCCAAGTCCATATAGAACGCTTCGAGTTTTTCTTAGTCATAGTTTGATGTCGGCGCGTAAACGACGAAGATTGTCAAAGCCGGAATTGATCCACGTCTTCTTAACCGTAAACGTCCTATTCGGGTTGTAGGTTGTTCGAATGAATTGATGTTCATGGACAAACTCGTGTTGACGAGAACGCGACGCCGCAGACTCCTCTACTGTCGCATGTTCCGAGGAACAGTTCTTCTCCAGTGCCACAGACGGCGTTGAATGACTGGCGTCGTCTCGTCTCGGCCAGGCCGATAACGTCGTACCTTATCCTTCTTGCTTGCATGTGCAAATCTTATCGAGGATGGATGCAAGTGTACTTGCATTGTGGGTACAGATCGTCATCTCGCGATCCAGGCAGCTTCCATTGGCCCTGAGATTTTAGCAGCCTCTCCTTACTCGTCCAATCCAACCAAGCCAAATTTAGGGCTCTTTCGAGGTAAGGGGAATGAGGTCCGTTTTTTCTATTGTTTCTAGCTTTTCGAAACCCACGTGTAGTTTTATGGGCTCTGAACGTGGAGGCTGGGTATACCCACAGGTAGCTTGCCAGTTTCTTCTAGCGTGGACATGGAGCTTATTCGTTGGAGGCAACTCCTACCTGCTTCACTTATATTTCCCTGTCACTTGATTGTAGGCTTTTGGCCGAACTGACTCGTAGAATACAATCCGCATAAACTTTAATGCACCCACACACGCGTGCATAAATACGCCTCGTAAATACAGAAAGCGTGTGCCACATAGGCGCAGCAGAAACAGGAAGTCCATGCTCTGGATCCATCAGCGTCTCAGGGAAACATAGAGTCGCTTTTGGTAAGCGATTAACCCCCTATCAGCCACCTGGGTACGCGCCACGTAGCCTCGCGACTAACCAGCTCGAGGTCCATCATATGAGGAACCTCCGCGGCGTAACTTCACACCAACGGTAGCTTTAAAGCAAATAGCACTTATGAGGTCACAGTGGTCTTTCTTTCACATATCCTTCACTCTTATGTCGATGTTGCAGAAGGGTAGGTGAATAGATATAGATTCAAGGATGTAGACTTGTTGCGGTCCGTATGTCAAGTCCATCGCACATTCTCCACAAGTGGTTTCTCACTTAAGGTATTAAGTAGTTATCTTCGAGCACATGCGGTTGTTACTCAAGCTCTTTATCTTGAACATTTTTATCTACAGTGCAGAACTTTTAAATCCGACAATCGTTTACGGTAGCATCGTTAAATGGAAAGTTAATATCGCGAGTTGTTTCCACGGCTTTAGATCTAGTTTAAAATCGAATAAAACGTTGTCCGAATTTGCACTTTCTAACTATAATCCGCACAAAATATATTAAATTCGTAATCAGTTGTAACCAATCGTATGCATATCTGGCCTTTACGACCACTTGCGGTGGCCTACCGATGTATTGAGCCAGTGCTGCCATCCTCGCAGATAAGTCTGGTACCAATTTGGCGACCCCGGAGAGATGGAAGGCTTGGTGGGCCATGGGCGCGTGGATTGTTTCCACGTGTGCGTGCAGAGCGCCTTCGACCACTGCGCCACACACGCTCTTTATCAATCGTAGACGTTAATATCAAATTTTAGAGCAAAATCTGCGCTGTATAGCTGTTTGTAGCATAAACATGAAGAAAAAAGATTTTTTAAAAGAATATCCATAATTTAAAAAGATAATGACCATTGCTTTCTGGACAACATTATGTGTCTATAGGGCAAAACCTGAATTTTTACTTTCCAAAGAAGTAGGATAATGAACTCACATTGGATGCGTGAGGTGTCAATGACGTTTGATTGGGCAGATTATCTGACATCTCTTCGTTTCTGCTCTGAAAATGGAAATGTAAAGAGTTGACACGTTGCCTAGAATTAAAATATTATTTTTATGGAATAATTTGTTATGTCGTCCAATTTGAAGAGAATTACCACAACGATCGTTTTTAAAAATGTTGGAAGAACGCTAAAGTTCAAAAATCGGATTTATCATTGAGTGGTACTGAAAACTAGGAAGCTTGAAGGTACGATAGAAACGAAGAAAGCAGCGTGCAAAAGCCAAAATGGAAAAAGCGCGGACACAATGGCAGTAAAGAACCAGTGAATGGAAGAAAGAAGAGAGGGAGTTGAGGATAATGACGAGTAGGAGGACTAAATATCTGATGAATGTGTCGTTTTCTTGTTTAGCAATCGCGAGGTTTTTAAACAGCATACATTTACCCCTCGGCATTGGAATATGAATGTGTCGTTTTCTTGTTCAGCAATCGCGAGGTTTTTAAACAGCATACACTTACTTCCATGAAAACACAATACAATACAACGCTAGCTGATGTTTCGGCAGTATCGCCTTCTTCAGAGCCGCTTTTTCGTGACTTCCAATGAGGAAGTTTAGAACAGCTGATTATAGTCGCATATGGTTGACGACTGCACCATCCCACATCAAAAATCGATGCCAACATACGGGGTCACGTGGCGTATGACCTCTGGGTATTCATCCTCGCTATTCATTATAGGGTTTTTATCATTTATCCAAAAATGCGTCTATAATCAGCTGCTCTAAACTTCCTTATTGGAAGTCACGAAAAAAATGCCTCTGAAGAAGGCGATACTGCCGAAACGTCAGCTAGTGTTGTATTGCATTGTGTTTTTCTATGGAAGTAAATGTATGCTATTTAAAATCCTCGTGATTTCTGAACAAGAAAACACATTCATATTCCAATGCCGAGGTTAAGAGAAAGTCGATCCTGGAAACTATCTGATGAGTGATCAAAAAACCTGAAAAAATTTTAAACAACTCGTCAATTTTCCTCCCAAGAATCCCTTGAGGGGTTGATGATGAGTTCCCTAGACTGAACACAGAATATTTTCTAAGATTACTTTGTTAAGCTAACATGAGAATGGTATGAAGCCTTATTCGCTTAACGTTTTGGCGTCTTTGTCTTCTTCAGAACCAAATTGATTCGAATTAAGTGTCCACAGTCGTTCGTCATCGCGTCGTGGGTCTTCATTGTCGCATCGGTTAGAGACCTCTGGAGTGGAGCACTGCTCAAATGAAATGTCCCCACTTGACAGTGGCTTTTTATGGAAGACAGTTGTGGACCTACCCCCATCCTGTGTGATCAGGTTTCTTGGGCGACAGTGCATCCTGCATCAGGCGGCCATATATTAGCTAGCACGATGACCACCTGTTAATAAACGACTCAAGTTAGTTCAGCGCTGATATGGACGAAGACGTGGAAACATTAACCAAATAAAAATTCTTTACCAAGTCCATGCTATCTTAGTAGTCTTAGAACATATACGCAGTGTTATATTATTGCATATTACTGGATATTATTGGGTTGGATTATCCTCTCAACGGTTTACCTCCTCATCGTGGCTCGGAGGTGTTCCTGTGTATCGAGCTGCAATGTACAGGAGAGGGATTTATCCACTGGCAGGGTCTCCCAAACT